AACCACAAGCGATCCACGAGCGGCACATTGGCTCCAGTCGCTGCGAAAGATGGATGGCTGATCCGAAAACCTGAGGCGTGACCAAGGACCTCACAGTTCCCAAGGCCCCTCTCTCTTTTAGACCCTGGTCGAAGAATAAGATTCGGCATTACTCACGTGTAGAGGGAACTGCCAAACAAAAAGGGGGGAAGGGTGGAATCCACTGAACAACTAAAATCTGAACACCTCGAAAGTCGGAGGTGAAACTCAGATAGTGGAGAGTGGAGAGCGAAGAAAAACAACATGTACCCTGCCCATTCTGCCTCAGTGCCAAAATTGAAAATACTCTGCCGAGGACTAGCATCTCAAATGTGCATAACAACCAGAGTCAAGTTTTATAAGGAGGGTAGATATGCCCATCCTGGCAGAAGGGTTTGTTTCTACCTAGTCTTGGCGGGATGACTTTTTCCTAGGTTCGGCGGTTCACTTGTCGAAGAGTGTTTCCAAAGCGCAACAGGCCACAAAGCATTCACTTTCCTAAACCTTCCAAAACGCAACCAAGTCCGCAAAGGGTGACCTTTTGCGAGGACGCAACAGTCGCTAAAGAAGCCAACCCTCCGCGCGGCTTCGGGGTGATGAGCCCGCCGAGCTGCTCGGAAGTTGCACGCGGCCACTCCGGCACAAAGCGGCCTGGAAGCGACGCCTCATCGCAAAGGCCCCTAAGATTATCTAACCCTGATCAAGGCGGCGCCGACGCGGGGGCGTTTCGAGTGGAAGTGGGTGGGGTGTTAGGAATGATAATGTTACTAGTTACACCAAGGTGAAAGTAGCTGGCGCAATTTCCGTGTAAGTAACACGGACGACTAAACCAACATTCGGGAGGTTCTGCCACCTTTCCAACACAAAGGGAAACCTCCAGTTGAGAACCTCGACCTTGGTGTCCCTTGGATTGGCCCCCCAAAATCAGCCATGTGAAACTAAAATTTAACTCTGCTTCTGCCAGCTTGACCAACCAAACAACTCACATCCAGGTCAGTGCCAAACAACCGCTAGACCGAGCTGGTTCGAAGCCAAACCATCACTGGATCCTCGACCCCTCCACCTCAAAAACAATCGCTTCCACGTGGATGTAAGCTGCCTGCGTGTGACATAGATACAAATGCAGCCACGCTGGGGCGCTTGCCTTTTGGGGTTGGTACCCTTTCTCTGGCGGTAGAAGCCAAAGAAGGCCGAAGCCGATCTTCAAAAAAACAGGTTTTGAGACACTGCCATTTACGGAGACCTCAACCAACCCGCTTACTTTTGCCTTTTTACCCAGGGTTGTGGTTTGAGATGAAGCACCAATTATGTCTCATTTCACCCTGCGTTTGGTCAACCTCCCTCCCTCACTGCCTGTGAATTCTGGGGGCTAACTGGTGGACATCATTTACGTGGCGATTCATGTCCACCAACCACTGGTGCAAACATTCTAGAACAATTGTGTCCATAACCTGAACTAAGGGATCCCAAGTGTGAAAGCCATCATCATCTTGGATTGGTACTCTCATTTTACCCCCCTCTCAAGGGTGTTAGCCACGCCAAGGCGCAATATCCGTGTAAGTAACACGGACAACTAAACCAACATTCGGGAGGTTCTGCCACCTTTCCAACACAAAGAGAAACCTCCAACCTTGACCTTGGTGTCCCTTGGATTGGCCCCCCAAAATCAGCCATGTGAAACCAAAATTCAAATGTGCTGTTGAAGGGGGGAGAAACTGGGAAAGTGAGGAGCAGGGTTCCACAATCTTTGCTGGGCTAATTCCCCCCCCCCCCCCCGCAATAAAAGTTCCACTGAGATTATTCATCAATATTCAATCTCTGTTGAGATCAGCATGATTACTCTCCCACCAACTAACGTGGACCTACACAAAGCCTCGTTCCAAGAGGAAAGGGGTCTTTCTACACGGTTCTGTGCACTTCCATGTTGGTTGGTGGGAGGGTATTGGTTGGCTCAACCAACCTCTGCTTGTGGGCCGCAAGCTTCTAAAACCCGAACAGGGTGGGGAAAAAAGGCGTCCTCCCCCCAGTCTTGAGCGGGTCGCTGCTCTGGAGCAGAGTCAAAGAAGCCAGTCCAAGGCCTCCTGCGAGCTCCGCACAAGGCCATCAAGCTGGCGCCTCTGGCGTCGTGCCACTTGGTGAACATGCTGAACTCACTCCGCTGAATCCTCGCAGACCCGCTCTGTTGGGTTGGGATGTGGGTTGCCCAACGGAGCGGGTCTGCCCGCTGCAGCTCTTCCTCGAGTGGATTGATCGATCCACTCGAAGAAGAGCTGCAGCTCCACCGACATGACGGACACGCAAGCTGCCACTAGTTGCACTCTTGAGCTGCCAGGACGTTCGCAAGCAAGAATTTGCGCTGCCTCGCTGTTACGCCTTCTCTTGAGGCGCTACAAACAAATAGCTCGGAATACATATACACATATAGATTGAGTCAAAGCCAATCAGGCCCTTGGACGAACCTCAATTTTCGGTTGGGACAGCCTGGCCTGAATCGCCAGGCATGCAAGAAGCCTGGGGCGGAGTGTCCCCTATTTCCCTCAAAGGTGGTCGGGGGCGGGTTGCCACCCATCAAGTCACCATGCCCCCGTAACATGGTCTTGTCACATGCTGTTGTTTGTTCTGACCTACACCCAGGATTCATCTTTGACCAACTGAATTCTGTGCTGCTTCAATTGTCAGGCAAACAAAGAAAAAACAGACATACATACACACAAAAGTATGCATAGACGCGCAACCAACACACACACACACACACACACACACACACACACACACACACACACACACACACACACACACACACACACACGCACACACGCACACATGCACACGTACATATACACACACAGATGCACACACACACACACAAACAAAGAAACCAAACGAGACAAGCGAAACAAACTAGCAAGTGAGCCAGTGAGCCAGCGAGCAAGCGAGCAAGCAAGCAAGCAAGCCAGCCAGCCAGCCTGCAACACGCAAACCAAACCAACAAATATCACCGGATCAACATGAATCAGCTAATTACATAGTATTTTCCTGCTCTTGTCCTATGACTATGAAGTAAGTATTGGGCAACCCGATTCCAAATCTTGCCCCGAGCCAAAGGCACTGCTCCTCAAGCATCGCAAGTCAGTCTTCGCTCCTCATGCGCTTGCGCACGCTTGCGCGCATCTTGCGCGCAGCTTTGCACGCCTAGCATATTCCTTCACGTGGACAGCCGGGGCTGCGTAGTCATAGCCACCGTGACCGGAAGTTGCAATCTTGAATTACTGGAAAAGAGGAGCAAAGTCCACTTCAGCCCATCCGCAAACCACCTGCTTGCAAAACGCGACTGTTCTGTCAAAACGCTTCTTACCCTGAAATTGTCCACGCGGAAAACGCAGCTCAGGGGTCGGCAGCAAGCCGGCCCTGCAGCGCCATTAGCAAAAGCTGGTGGCGCCTGAAACACATGCGAGGACCTCGCGTAGTGTCTCACTTTCACCGATTGGTCTGAGAAGCTTACCAAACTTGTTTGGTACGACCAAAAGTTAAAAGGAACATCTCAAGTGTTTCAAGTCCCGAAACATAACTATTCCTCTGAGGTGTTACACTGTGCGATGTGTTTTTGTTTGACATTGGCAAGGAGCTCCCGGTGAACCCCAAATGAGAAATCTGGCTTACATCCCGTCACAACAGAGGAAACTCAACCTGTCGCCAAACACTCCGTGTGTGCAATACCTACCCACATTTACTCCCCCGAATGGGTCAAAGTGGCATACATACAACTAGTTGTGCCGTGTCCATATAGATATAGAGAGAGAGATTGATGCTAATCCAGTCCCCTTCCAAAACCTCCGGCCAATATGTACATAATACTGTGTATGACACACACATATATATATATATATACATATGTACTCACAGCTTGTGCGGGTGTAGCCGGCGCCACCAAATCTGCCCAGGCCGCCAGACCGCCTCACTCCTCGCTCGCCGGCCCGGCGCGCAGGTCTGGCTGTTCAGCACCTGCCGGCTTTTTTCCGCGCGGCTGCCGGCGAACGCGCGCAAACGACCCGAGGATTTTGCAACTTTTTGGAAGCAGAGTTTCTCCAAGAGGAAAAAGTCGCCTTACCAACCTTCAGATCGTCAGCTTTCATGGTTGTTAAACAAATTGAACAAGACTGGCCTTGTGGGGTGAAGAACACGCACTTGCAACATCGCTCACATGTCTGCTGATGTATTGCCAAACGCGATTGATTCTAGCTGCCACCGCAAATAACCAGACATGGTCTTTTTGTTGAAGGGGGGGTCCCTCACTTACCTTTCTAAGCAGACAGCAGGAACTTCCTAGGCAGTAGCTGGAACCTTGCAGGTTTCGTTAATAAAAACACAACAACTACAAAGATGATGCTTGAACCCGGGGGGTTAGACAAGCAAGATAACTTCAGCTCTTTGATTGGTGCTTCGCATTGATCGTTCTAACAGACGGCTTACCCTCTACGAAAGCTGACCCCCAACCCAATCCGAAAATCGCCCAAACGGAGGGGAACCTGGAACTCTGACCTGTGACACAAAGATCCTCCCACGGGCACAACCCGTGAGCTTCGCCCAGCGGCCCGCGCCCCGCGCTTTGCGAGTTCTGAGGCGCCTGGCCTTTCAGCGCGACCGGCTTCCCGAGGCTCACGAGCTGGTAGTCGTTGCTTCAGCTTCCTTCCAGGTGAGTTGGAACCCCCTGACCTATGGACCCTACATCAAAACAGGAACGCGACACATTTGACATACAAGCCAGCAGGGTCACGGGCTTCAGCTGGCAAACTTGGTTTCAACATGACCAAAATTCATCTATTCTTTTGCAAGCCTGGCATGTTCGACTGTTCTGATGGTATTGGTTATTTTGGCAAGCGTGGCGCGTGCCCTCCACTGACTGTTCTGACCTCCGCGCGCGGCAAGCTGCGTGGCGACCATAGAGCCGGCGGATCAGTTCGAAGAGCCAGCGGTGCGCCTTCTCACTGGGTCCTGGGATGCCAGCGTGCAATGGGGACATTTGGCTGTGGGTCAAAACTGATGGTACCATTGGGGCAGGTGCGCCACCCAGTTTAGTCTACTCTAGTGGGGATTGGGATGTTTGACCCATGGCCATTTGGAAAACAGCACGGCAAGCCTGCAAACGACAGGCTTCGAACGCGCGCGCCAAAGTGTAATCGACTATCGCACCCAGACCTTCAACCTGCCATCGACAATGTCAACCGGTAGACAAATTTCATCAGTTTGGAAAATAGTGGCACCGACACGCAGGAAATGGCTTTGTTGCCCAACTGAGTGATCAAGCGACGAAAAGAAACGCTTTCTTCGTGGGATGACGGCGCAAGGGCAAAAGCATGGACGGAAACGAGAAGGTGTTGCTATTGCATTACCTATGCCCGTCGAACGTGTCATCTTGATGTGGCTTTCGACTACAAGATGGAAATCCAACAACAACTGTTTCCGACTGTTTCTGCTGGAGTCGCGCCACTCTTTCGGGTTTCATGCTAATCTGTAGCGGCAGGAATCCCGTACTCCGTTTCAAGGGTTCAGTCTGATGTCAACCCCTCACTACAACCGGAGATAGTAACTAAGGAAGCTCTTGGGCACAGTGAGATGAAGAAAGAATGAGTGCGCGCGAGAAAATCCGCCGACGACAGGCGGCGTGTTGGATATAAGAAATGCTCCTTACCTCTTTACCTGTTACCCCTCCCCTTACCCCTCCCCACGGGCACGCTTTGAGACTATTGCGGGGGCGGGGGGGGGGGGGGGTCCACGTACCACGCGGTGATTCCAAGACGTTCCACTAAATCCTTTCTTCTGGGGGCTGTGCGGAACACAGTTGCGTAAAAACATTGCGGTGTTCGATTCCCCCCAGGTCCGTTGTTGCATCCTTAGAAGATCTTGGGGAGGAAAAGGGAGAAGATCTCAGGGGGGGAAAGCCTTAGGGGGGAAAGGGGGGAAAGGATCTCAACAGGGAAGGGGGGAAAACATCTTAGGAAGGAAAAGGGAGAAGATCTCGCGGTGGGAAAGGGCCTTAGGAGGGACAGGGGGGAAAGGATCTCAACAGGGAAAGGTTGCAAAAGATCTTAGGGAGGAAAAGGAAGAAGATCTCAGGGGGGGAAAGGCCTTAGGGGGGAAAGAGGGGAAAGGATCTCAACAGGGAAAGGGGGGGAAAGATCTTAGGGAGGAAAGGGAGAAGATCTGGGGGAAAAGGTTTTAGGGGGGAAAGGGGAGAAATGATCTCAGGAAAGGGAGAAGATCTGGAAAAAAAAGCCTTACAAGGGAAAGGGGGGAAAAGATCTTTGGGAGGAAACGGGAAATCTTTCTCGGGTGGAAAAGGCCCTAGGGGGGAATGGGGGGAAAGGATCTCAAACGGGAAAGGGGGGAACAGATTTTAAGGAGGAAAAGGAAGAAGATCTCAGGGTGGGAAAGGGCCTTAGGAGGGACAGGGGGGAAAGGATGTCAATAGGGAAAGGTGGGAAAAGATCTTAGGGAGGAAAAGGGAGAAGATCTCAGGGGGGAAAAGGCCGTAGGGGGGAAAGAGGGGAAAGGATCTCAACAGGGAAAGGGGGGGGAAAAGGCCTTAGGGGGGATCTCAACAGGGAAAGGGCGGCAAAGATCTTAGAGGGGAAGTTCCAAAGGGACGCAAATAACCTGAGCCGGAGGCGTTAAAATATGTTTGCGCGTGCGGAGGGAAATAGACATCGTGAAAAGAGTGACCCTCTGCAGGTTTTTTCTGCGTCTCAGGCAAGCTGAAAGCTACCCGACGCCTCACGGACGCCGGGTTTGGAACGGTCTCGGAACGCTCTCGGAGCGGTCTCGGAACAGTCTCGGAACGGACTCGGACCCGTGTCCATTGGCACAGACGCGCGCACTTTTCGCGACATCATCTTTGCGTGGCAGGCGCAGCACTTCGCCGAGCTGAGATTCAGATTGCGTGGCAGGCGCAGCACTTTCGCAAGGTCAAGTGCAGATTTGGTGGCACACGCAGCACTTCGCAAGGAGGTACAGACTTTGTGGCAGGAGCAGCACTTTCAGAAGATAGACAGGTAGACAAATGGATAGTCATTAGATAGGTAGGTAGGAAAACTACAGATAGACTGATAGATAGATAGATAGATAGATAGATAGATAGATAGATAGATAGATAGATAGATTGATAGATAGATAGATAGATTAGATAGATAGATAGATAGATAGATAGATAGATAGATAGATAGATAGATAGATAGATAGATAGATAGATAGATAGATAGATAGATAGATAGCTAGATAGCTAGCTAGCTAGATAGATAGATAGATAGACAGACAGACAAACAAACACACAGACAGACAGACAAATAGATGGATAGATGGATAGATACTTAGACATTTAGATACAGAGATGGAGAGATAGAAGAACAGAGAGAGAGAGAGAGAGAGAGAGAGAGAGATAGAGACAGACAGACTGATAAATACACAGCTTAGCGAGATAGAGAGATAGAGAGGCACAAACATGTAGAGACAGAGAGATAGCAAGAAAGTGAGACAGTGAGATAGACAGGCAGAGAAATAGAAAGAAAGATGGATAGATGGATCAATAGCTCGCTAGACAGACTGCTAGGCAGATAGATCCATAGACAGATACATAGATAGAAAGATAGGTAGGTAGAGAATGAACTAGAGACAGAGAAAGAGCGAGAGAAAGATAAAGATCAAGAGAGAAAGCAAGAAAGAAAGAAAGAAAGAAAGAAAGAAAGAAAGAAAGAAAGAAAGAAAGAAAGAAAGAAAGAAAGAAAGAAAGAAAGGAAAAGAAAGAAAGAAAGAAAGAAAGAAAGAAAGAAAGAAAGAAAAGAAAAGAAAGAAAAGAAAGAAAAGAAAGAAAGAAAGAGAGAAAGAGAAAGAGAAAGAGAAAGAGAAAGAGAGATACAGACAACAAAATTCTTATATTTTTGAGACTTCCGCCCACCGGCTTCGCCGGCTCCACTGGTATAACATATGTTTGGAGACCCATTCGGAATAGCCAGGGCGCAAATGAAAAAGAAGCCGTACAGGCAGCGCGACTCGGGATCGTAGCCCAGCAGAGCTCGCAGCTGCTTTTCCAATGGCCTTAGTCGGGTGCTGGACCAAAGTTCGGAAACAAAGCATACCCTCTTTACAACAATCATGGAAGTGCACAAAGGGGTTCCCCAAAAGGAAAATAGTCTTCCAAAGCTCTCCTGTCAACTTCCATGATTGTTGGAGGGAGGGTATTGCCCGTGGCAAATTCTCCTGGTTTGTCGCTTTGCGAAGTGGGCCATTCCAATGAAAACTTTGCCACTTGGGCCACTTGGGGGATCCCCTGCGACTTTCGGATTCCTAAAGCAACTCATTTCCAGAGAAACTGAAACTAATTGCCCAAGTCCAGCTTCTCCAAAGACCCTGCCACAGGAGACTAAATTTCTCTCTATTCGCTGTGAAGTCCCCTGAGAAAATTACACAAACCATCCAGCAGTGCGTCCTTCTCGTTGAAACAGGGGAACATGGGATGGTGCTGCTGCGTTTGAGGTGCTACACATATGTAAGACTATTCATTGAGTCCAAGTCAAGTGAGGAAAACGACCAATCGCCCCCTTGAAGAATTAAAGCGCTGAGCACTTTCAAAGGGGCCTGAAAAGAGTTTCAGGCCCTTGCGCACATTTCAACTGTCAGGCAAACAAGAAGTATGCGCAGAAAACTATCCGGACACCAATGGTTTTTCTAATGGTTGATGCATCGACTCTGCCACTACTCATGCACGAGGTGGCTTGAAAGGTTGCTGGGTTGAACTGTGACAGGTGCTCAGTCCTGAACCCAACCTTGCGCCAAACAAAACACCTTCCGTACACCAACAAGCCATCTGCCAGCCTGCCAACCAACAGCCAACCCACCAGTCTGTTCCAAACAAGCGCTAGACCGCGCTGGTTCTAAGCCAACAGTAACACTGGATTCTGCAACCCCCCTACCAAAAACAAAGTCCTTCAACCATTGGTACAAACATTCTAGAAAAATGTACTAAGCAACCCCAAATGAAAGCCATCAACCCATGAAAAAGGCCCACTCCCGCCTGCTCCGTGAGCTTGGATGCAAGGTCGGAATGCCAAGCGATCCACCAGCGCGGGCACATTGGCTCCAGTCGCTGCGAAAGCTGGATGGCTGATCCGAAAACCTGAGGCGTGACCAAGGACCTCACAGTTCCCAAGGCCCCTCTCTCTTTTAGACCCTGGTCCAAAAAACAAAAGCTCATGCATCCTGCTTGGGGCTACTCACTTGTAGAGGGAACCGCCAAACAAAAAGGGGGAAAGGGTGGAATCCACTGAACAACTGGAATTCTGAACGCCTCGAGTCGGAGGTGAAACTCAGATAGTGGAGAGCAAAAAAACATGTACCCTGCCTATTCTGCCTCAGTGCCAAAATTGAAAATACTCCGCCAAGGACTAGCATCCCAAATGTGCATAACAACCAGAGTCAAGGTTATAAGGAGGGTACATATGCCCATCCTGGCAGAAGAGTTTGTTTCTTCCTAGTCGTGGCGGGATGACTTTTCCCTAGGTGCGGCGGGGCACTCCTGACACACAGCAGCCGCATAGGGTTCACTTGTCGAAGCGTGTGTCCAAAGAGCAACAGGCCACAGAGCGTTCACTTTCCTAAACCTTCCAAAACACAACCAAGTCCGAAAAAGGTGAACTTTTGTGAGGACGCAACAGGTGCTAAGGGGATCACGCGGAAGATCTCTCCGGGAGCCAGTGGGGTTAACGGGGAAAGGAAAATGGGATGGCCTCTGTTGCATTTGCTTGTCGCCCCCGTTAAAGAATCAACGCGCTGAGCACTTTCAAAGGGGCCTGGAAAGAGTTTGAGGCCCTTGGGCAAAATTCAATTTTGGGCTGGGGCAGCCTGAATCGCCCCTTTTCCTCGAAGGTGGTCGGGTGGGCGGAGGGCGGGACTGTTTGGGAAGGAAGGCAACGTTGGCCCCACTCTGCCCTTACAGCAAACTGGATTCTGCAGGCTGCTTCAACTGGCTGGCAAACAAACGAATGCGCAGAAAATCATCCGGCCATCAGTGGCTTCTCCAATGATTGATGCATCCACTCTTCCACTACTCATGTACGGGATGGTGGAAGCAGCCTCCTTTGGGCGTCCAACTGAAAAACTGGCTTGAAAGGTTGCTGGGTTGAACTGTGACAGGTGCTCAGTCCTGAACCCAACCTTGCGCCAAACAAAACACCTTCCGTACACCAACAAGCCATCTGCCAGCCTGCCAACCAACAGCCAACCCACCAGTCTGTTCCAAACAAGCGCTAGACCGCGCTGGTTCTAAGCCAACAGTAACACTGGATTCTGCAACCCCCCTACCAAAAAAACATGTCCTTCAACCATTGGTGCAGACATTCTAGAAAAATGTACTAAGCAACCCCAAATGAAAGCCATCGACCCATGAAAAAGGCCCACTCCCGCCTGCTCCGTGAGCTTGGATGCAAGGTCGGAATGCCAAGCGATCCACCAGCGCGGGCACATTGGCTCCAGTCGCTGCGAAAGCTGGATGGCTGATCCGAAAACCTGAGGCGTGACCACGGACCTCACAGTTCCCAAGGCCCCTCTCTCTTTTAGACCCTGGTCCAAAAAATAAGATGTGGCATCCTGCTTGGGGCTACTCACTTGTAGAGGGAACTGCCAAACCAAAGGGGGAAAGGGTGAAATCCACTGAACAACTGGAATTCTGAACGCCTCGAGTCGGAGGTGAAACTCAGATAGTGGAGAGCAAAAAAACATGTACCCTGCCCATTCTGCCTCAGTGCCAAAATTGAAAATACTCCGCCAAGGACTAGCATCCCAAATGTGCATAACAACCATAGTCAAGGTTATAAGGAGGGTACATATGCCCATCCTGGCAGAAGAGTTTGTTTCTTCCTAGTCGTGGCGGGATGACTTTTCCCTAGGTGCGGCGGGGCACTCCTGACACACAGCAGCCGCATAGGGTTCACTTGTCGAAGCGTGTGTCCAAAGAGCAACAGGCCACAGAGCGTTCACTTGCCTAAACCTTCCAAAACACAACCAAGTCCGAAAAAGGTGAACTTTTGTGAGGACGCAACAGGTGCTAAGGGATCACGCGGAAGATCTCTCCGGGAGCCAGGGGGGTTAACGGGGAAAGGAAAATGGAATGGCCTCTGTTGCATTTGCTTGTCGCCCCCGTTAAAGAATCAACGCGCTGAGCACTTTCAAAGGGGCCTGGAAAGAGTTTGAGGCCCTTGGGCAAAATTCAATTTTGGGCTGGGGCAGCCTGAATCGCCCCTGTTCCTCGAAGGTGGTCGGGTGGGCGGAGGGCGGGACTGTTTGGGAAGGAAGGCAACGTTGGCCCCACTCTGCCCTTACAGCAAACTGGATTCTGCAGGCTGCTTCAACTGGCTGGCAAACAAACGAATGCGCAGAAAATCATCCGGCCATCAGTGGCTTCTCCAATGATTGATGCATCCACTCTTCCACTACTCATGTACGGGATGGTGGAAGCAGCCTCCTTTGGGCGTCCAACTGAAAAACTGGCTTGAACAGTTGCTGGGTTGAACTGTGACAGGTGCTCAGTCCTGAACCCAACCTTGCGCCAAACAAAACACCTTCCGTACACCAACAAGCCATCTGCCAGCCTGCCAACCAACAGCCAACCCACCAGTCTGTTCCAAACAAGCGCTAGACCGCGCTGGTTCTAAGCCAACAGCAACACTGGATTCTGCAACCCCCCTCCAAAAAAAATTGTCCTTCAACCATTGGTGCAAACATTCTAGAAAAATGTACTAAGCAACCCCAAATGAAAGCCATCAACCCATGAAAAAGGCCCACTCGCGCCTGCTCCGTGAGCTTGGATGCAAGGTCGGAATGCCAAGCGATCCACCAGCGCGGGCACATTGGCTCCAGTCGCTGCGAAAGCTGGATGGCTGATCCGAAAACCTGAGGCGTGACCAAGGACCTCACAGTTCCCAAGGCCCCTCTCTCTTTTAGACCCTGGTCCAAAAAACAGTTGTTGCATCCTGCTTGGGGCTACTCACTTGTAGAGGGAACCGCCAAACAAAAGGGGGGAAGGGTGGAATCCACCACTGAACAACTGGAATTCTGAACGCCTCGAGTCGGAGATGAAACTCAGATAGTGGAGAGCAAAAAAACATGTACCCTGCCCATTCTGCCTCAGTGCCAAAATTGGAAATACTCCGCCAAGGACTAGCATCCCAAATGTGCATAACAACCAGAGTCAAGTTTTATAAGGAGGGTACATATGCCCATCCTGGCAGAAGAGTTTGTTTCTTCCTAGTCGTGGCGGGATGACTTTTCCCTAGGTGCGGCGGGGCACTCCTGACACACAGCAGCCGCATAGGGTTCACTTGTCGAAGCATGTTTCCAAAGCGCAACAGGCCGCAAAGCATTCACTTTCCTAAACCTTCCAAAACACAACCAAGTCCGCAAAGGGTAAACTTTTGTGAGGACGCAACAGTTTCTAAGGGGATCACACGGAAGATCTCTCCGGGAGCCAGGGGGGTTAACGGGGAAAGGAAAATGGAATGGCCTCTGTTGCATTTGCTTGTCGCCCCCGTTAAAGAATCAACGCGCTGAGCACTTTCAAAGGGGCCTGGAAAGAGTTTGAGGCCCTTGGGCAAAATTCAATTTTGGGCTGGGGCAGCCTGAATCGCCCCTTTTCCTCGAAGGTGGTCGGGTGGGCGGAGGGCGGGACTGTTTGGGAAGGAAGGCAACGTTGGCCCCACTCTGCCCTTAAAGCAAACTGGATTCTGCAGGCTGCTTCAACTGGCTGGCAAACAAACGAATGCGCAGAAAATCATCCGGCCATCAGTGGCTTCTCCAATGATTGATGCATCCACTCTTCCACTACTCATGTACGGGATGGTTGAAGCAGCCTCCTTTGGGCGTCCAACTGAAAAACTGGCTTGAAAGGTTGCTGGGTTGAACTGTGACAGGTTCTCGGTCCTGAACCCAACCTTGCGCCACACAAAACACCTTCCGTACACCAACAAGCCAGGCAAGCGTCAAGTCTGCTTCTGCCAGCCTGCCAACCAACAGCCAACCCACCAGTCTGTGCCAAACAAGCGCTAGACCGCGCTGGTTCTAAGCCAAAACAACACTGGATCCTGCAACCGCCCTACCCCAAAAAGATTGTCCTTCAACCATTGGTGCAAACATTCTAGAAAAATGTACTAAGCAACCCCAAGTGAAAGCCATCAACCCATGAAAAAGGCCCACTCCCGCCTGCTCCGTGAGCTTGGATGCAAGGTCGGAATGCCAAGCGATCCACCAGCGCGGGCACATTGGCTCCAGTCGCTGCGAAAGCTGGATGGCTGATCCGAAAACCTGAGGCGTGACCACGGACCTCACAGTTCCCCAGGCCCCTCTCTCTGTTAGACCCTGGTCCAAAAAATAAGATGTTGCATCCTGCTTGGGGCTACTCACTTGTAGAGGGAACCGCCAAACAAAAAGGGGGAAAGGGTGGAATCCACCACTGAACAACTGGAATTCTGAACGCCTCGAGTCGGAGATGAAACTCAGATAGTGGAGAGCAAAAAAACATGTACCCTGCCCATTCTGCCTCAGTGCCAAAATTGGAAATACTCCGCCAAGGACTAGCATCCCAAATGTGCATAACAACCAGAGTCAAGTTTTATAAGGAGGGTACATATGCCCATCCTGGCAGAAGAGTTTGTTTCTTCCTAGTCGTGGCGGGATGACTTTTCCCTAGGTGCGGCGGGGCACTCCTGACACACAGCAGCCGCATAGGGTTCACTTGTCGAAGCGTGTGTCCAAAGAGCAACAGGCCACAGAGCGTTCACTTGCCTAAACCTTCCAAAACACAACCAAGTCCGAAAAAGGTGAACTTTTGTGAGGACGCAACAGGTGCTAAGGGGATCACACGGAAGATCTCTCCGGGAGCCAGGGGTTAACGGGGAAAGGAAAATGGGATGGCCTCTGTTGCATTTGCTTGTCGCCCCCGTTAAAGAATCAACGCGCTGAGCACTTTCAAAGGGGCCTGGAAAGAGTTTGAGGCCCTTGGGCAAAATTCAATTTTGGGCTGGGGCAGCCTGAATCGCCCCTTTTCCTCGAAGGTGGTCGGGTGGGCGGAGGGCGGGACTGTTTGGGAAGGAAGGCAACGTTGGCCCCACTCTGCCCTTACAGCAAACTGGATTCTGCAGGCTGCTTCAACTGGCTGGCAAACAAACGAATGCGCAGAAAATCATCCGGCCATCAGTGGCTTCTCCAATGATTGATGCATCCACTCTTCCACTACTCATGTACGGGATGGTTGAAGCAGCCTCCTTTGGGGGTCCAACTGAAACACTGGCTTGAAAGGTTGCTGGGTTGAACTGTGACAGGTGCTCAGTCCTGAACCCAACCTTGCGCCAAACAAAACACCTTCCGTACACCAACAAGCCATCTGCCAGCCTGCCAACCAACAGCCAACCCCCCAGTCTGTGCCAAACAAGCGCTAGACCGCGCTGGTTCTAAGCCAAAACAACACTGGATCCTGCAACCGCCCTACCCCAAAAAGATTGTCCTTCAACCATTGGTGCAAACATTCTAGAAAAATGTACTAAGCAGCCCCAAATGAAAGCCATTAACCCATGAAAAAGGCCCACTCCCGCCTGCTCCGTGAGCTTGGATGCAAGGTCGGAATGCCAAGCGATCCACCAGCGCGGGCACATTGGCTCCAGTCGCTGCGAAAGCTGGATGGCTGATCCGAAAACCTGAGGCGTGACCACGGACCTCACAGTTCCCCAGGCCCCTCTCTCTTTTAGACCCTGGTCCAAAAAATAAGATGTTGCATCCTGCTTGGGGCTACTCACTTGTAGAGGGAACCGCCAAACAAAAGGGGGGAAGGGTGGAATCCACTGAACAACTGGAATTCTGAACGCCTCGTAAGTCGGAGGTGAAACTCAGATAGTGGAGAGTGGAGAGCGAAGAAAAAAACATGTACCCTGCCCCTTCTGCCTCAGTGCCAAAATTGAAAATACTCTGCCGAGGACTAGCATCCCAGATGTGCATAACAACCAGAGTCAAATTTTATAAGGGGGTACATATGCCCATCCTGGCAGAAGAGTTTGTTTCTTCCTAGTCTTGGCGGGATGACTTTTCCGTAGGTGCAGCGGGGCACTCCCGACACACAGCAGCCGCATAGGGTTCACTTGTCGAAGCGTGTGTCCAAAGAGCAACAGGCCACAGAGCGTTCACTTGCCTAAACCTTCCAAGACACAACCAAGTCCGAAAAAGGTGAACTTTTGTGAGGACGCAACAGTTGCTAAGGGGATCACACGTAAGATCTCTCCGGAAGCAAGGGGGGGCTTACGGGGAAAGGAAAATGGGATGGCCTCTGTTGCAGTTGTCGCCCCCGTTAAAGAATCAACGCGCTGAGCACTTTCAAAGGGGCCTGAACAGAGTTGCAGGCCCTTGGGCAAATTTCAATTTTGGGCTGGGGCAGCCTGAATCGCCAAACACGCAAGAAGCCATGGGGCGGGGTGTCCCCCCTTTTCCTCGAAGGTGGTCGGGTGGGCGGGGGGCGGGACTCTTTGGGAAGGAAGGCAACGTTGGCCCCACTCTGCCCTTGCAGCAAACTGGATTCTGCACGCTGCTTCAATTGTTAGGCAAACAAGAAGTATGCGCAGAAAATCATCCGGCCATCAGTAAGCAGCCTCCTTTGGGCGTCCAACTGAAAAACTGGCTTGAAAGGTTGCTGGGTTGAACTGTGACAGGTTCTCAGTCCTGAACCCAACCTTGCGCAAAAACCAAACACCTTTCGTACACCAACAAGCCAGGCAAGCGTCAAGTCTGCTTCTGCCAGCCTGCCAACCAACAGCCAACCCACCAGTCTGTGCCAAACAAGCGCTAGACCGCGCTGGTTCTAAGCCAAAAACAACACTGGATCCTGCAACCGCCCTACCCCAAAAAACAATGGTGTCCACGCGTGTAAGCCAAAAGGAGGCCGAAGCCGGTGTCGAAAATGTTCCATTTGGAGAACTCGGCCAACCCGCTTACTTTGGGGGGCTGCCTTCGACAACGAGATCCTTTGGAGAAAAAAAATACTTCTCATTACACCCTGCCTTTGGGGCAATTGGGTCGACCTCCTCTCTGGGGACGGGACCATTGGGAGGGTGTCCCCCAACAAAATGCAGGGCCACAACACTGATCCAAACATTCTAAAGCAAGTTTGTCCAAAATCTAAGTTGAGGAATCCCGCATAAAAGCCATCATCATCTTGGATCTCCGCTCTCATGTTACCCGCAAGTGGACTCGAAACCCAAGGAGGCCCACTCCCGCCTGCTCATGCAAGCGATCCACGAGCGCGGGCACATTGGCTCCGGTCGCTGCGAAAGATGGATGGCTGATCCGAAAGCCTGAGGCGTGACCAAGGACCTCACAGTTCCCAAGGCCCCTCTCTCTTTTCGACCCTGGTCGAAGAATAAGATTCGGCATCACTCACTTGTAGAGGGAACTGCCAAACAAAGGGGGGGAAGGGTGCACAACTGAAATCTGAACGCCTCGTAAGTCGGAGGTGAAACTCAGATAGTGGAGAGTGGAGAGCGAAGAAACAAAAAAACATGTACCCTGCCCATTCTGCCTCAGTGCCAAAATTGAAAATACTCTGCCGAGGACTAGCATCCCAGATGTGCATAACAACCAGAGTCAAGTTTTATAAGGAGGGTACATATGCCCAGAAGAGTTTGCTTCTTCCTAGTCTTGGCGGGATGACTTTTCCCTAGGTGTGGCGGGGCACTCCTGACACACAGCAGCCGCATGGGGTTCACTTGTCGAAGAGTGTTTCCAAAGCGCACCAGGCCGCAAAGCATTCACTTTCCTAAACCTTCCAAAACGCAACCAAGTCCGCAACGGGTAAAACTTTTGCGAGGACGCAACAGCCGCTAAAGCCAACCCTCCGCGCGGCTTCGGGGTGATGAACCCGCCGAGCTGCTCGGAAGTTGCGCGCGACCGCTCCGGCACAAAGCGGCCCGGAAGCGATGCCTCAGCGCAAAGGCCCCTAATCTAACCCTGATCAAGGCGGCGCCCACGCGGGGGCGTTTCGAGTGGAAGTGAGTGGGGTGTTAGGAGTGAGAATGTTACTAGTTACACCAAGCTGAAAGTAGCTGGCGCAGTTTCCGTGTAAGTGACGCGGACGACTAAACCAACACTAGCGGGGTTCTGCCACCTTTCCAACGCAAAGGGAAACCTCCAGTTGAGAACCTCGACCTTGGTGTCCCTTGGATTGGCCCCCCAAAATCAGCCATGTGAAACTAAAATACAAATGTGCTTTTGAAGGGGAAGAGAATCTGGGAAAGTGAGGAGCAGGGTTCCACAATCATTGCTGGGCTAACCCCCCCCCCCAATAGCGTGGCATTGCCCAAGAGAAGTGGTCATGCGCAACAATGCTACCCTGCCGGCATGGATGTGCACGTTGGTTGGGTACACTCTACAAATTCCACTGAGATCATTCGTCAATAGTCAATCTCTGTTGAGGTCAGCAGGATTCCTCTCCCACCAACTAACATGGAACTAGACAAAGCCCCTTTCCAAGAGGAAAGCGGTCTGTCTACACGGTTCTGCGCACTTCCATGTGAGTTGGTGGGAGAGTATTGGTTGGCTGAACCAACCTCTGCTCGTGGGCCGAAAGCTTCTGGATCCTAACCCGAACAGGGTGGCCAAAAAAGGCGTCCTCCCCCCAGTCTTGAGCGGGTCGCTGCTCAGGAGCAGAGTGAAAGAAGCCAGTCCAAGGCCTCCTGCGAGCTCCGCACAAGGCCATCAAGCTGGCGCCGCTGGCGTCGTGCCACTCGGTGGACGTGCTGCACCCGCTCCTTCGTCTCCTCATAAAATTCTTCCACCGTGGGGATGTGCGTTGCCCAACGGAGCGGGTCTGCCAGGATTCTGGGCGGCACAAACGCGTCGTCAATCCACTCGAGGAAGAGCTGCAGCTCCACCGACATGAGGGACACGCAAGCTGCCACTAGTTGCACTCTTGAGCTGCCAGGACGTTCGCAAGCAAGAATTTGCGCTGCCTCGCTGTTACGCCTTCTCTTGAGGCGCTACAAACAAATAGCTCGGAATACATATACACATATACATTGAGTCAAAGCCGATCAGGCCCTACGAACCTCAATCTTCGGTTGGGACAGCCTGGCCTGAATCGCCAAACATGCAAGAAGCCATATGGCGGAGTGTCCCCTATTTCCCTAGGTCAAGTGGGCCGGCGGCGCCCTTGCTGCATTTGAAGGGGCGGGTTGCCACCCATCAAGGTCTTGTCAAATGTTGTTGTTTGTTCTGACCTACACCCCAGGATTCTTCTTCGGCGCGCTGAATTCTGTGCTGCTTTAATTGTCAGGAAAGCAAGGAACAAACAGACATACATACACACACACACAAAAAAAAACTCCCGCACACCAACACAAACACACAAACACACAAACGTACACATAGACACGTACACACACACATGCATGCATGAATGCATGAACGTATGAACGCACGCCCACGCACGCGCGCACGCACGCATGCACCCACGAACAAACACACAAACATGCAAACACACAGAACCACACACACACACACACCCGCAAAAACAGAAACACGGAAACACTCAAACAAGCAAGCAAGCAAGAAAGCAAGCAAGCAAACAAACAATCAGTCAAACAAACAAACAAACAAACAAACAAACAAACAAACAAACAAACAAGCAAGGAAGGAAGGAAGGAAGGAAGCAAGCACACAAACAAACAAACAAACAAACAAACAAACAAACAAACAAACAAACAAACAAACAAACAAACAAGCAAGCAAGCAAGGAAGGAAGGAAGCAAGCACACAAACAAACAAACAAACAAACAAAGAAAGCAGAGCTTGTCATGCGTGTGTGATGCTGTGGGAGAGTCGTCAGTGGTGCGGAGGGTTTGATGCCAGGCGGATGAATCGTCTATTCAACTTAGTGTGGTTGGCTCCGCGTCCAGCTTTGATATCACAACGTCAATGACCATATTTCCCTCCAACCAATGCAATGTTATTCAGATCCATGCACCCGCGGGCCATGTGGTGACATTTTGTGCCGCCATTGAAAGTGTCCCAACAAAAAATGTTGCCATCGTAAAATGCAGTTCGCAAATGGCTTGTCCTTCTGGAATCACGGGCACCCAGGAGGCACCCTGCGAGTCACCCTGCAAATGCCTCTGCAAACGAAAGGAGACTGGCAGGCATCAAACACCGGAACCCACCAGAGATATCGGCTTGCAACATGTGTGCCTGTTTGCTTTGCACATCGAGTATCAAGGGAAAAATAAGGGGCATCCATGGCATTCACACACGCAAACACATACCTCGCTGCATGTGAACTAGTTGGACCTAGTGGTGGCAATGGCCCCGTTTGGTTTCCCCCAAAACATGCACAAGAAATTGCAATCTTGAGCATTTTGGATGGCTTGGCCAAATATCGATCGATCTTGACGAGAAGAAGCAGCTCCCAGAGAAGCAATCAAACTTGCATGCATGCTCTTGCAGTCTCTCTTGCCTTCCCCTCAGAGCCATTGGTGTTTGGAGTCGGCTGGGTATGGGCGCACTTTTCAAGGGGCAACCGCCCACTCAGTGAGTTCACCTCCCCGCCCCCCCGAAGGCGCCGCACCGAATGGCCGTTTCTCCGACGGGCAACTCCGAATTCGACGAGGTCGAACTGCGTGGGTGAGAGCTGAAAGGAAGCGCCGAGATCCCCGAACGTCTGAAGATGTCAACCCCGATTTGTTTGCAAATGGAAGAGACCTGAACCGGCCAGAGCTTGACACCTAATGCTTGGGGATAGGAACCTTCCCATCAAACCCCCAAACCAATCCCAACCACAACCTGAGACTGGAGATTCACTTCTCAGTCCACAGAAACGGCGCAGTGGCAATCCGTGTGTGGCAAATTTGTGGATACAAAAACCTCTCAGACTTGAGCTCCAGTCTTTTTGCCAGAGAAGCCCTTGAAAGCGGCTACGAACATTTCGGAGGGGCAGTGGCAGTTTGCCCGTGTTTACACTCTAGAGCCGATCCATGCCGGCCATCTCGACGACATCGCCCGGGGAAAAGAAAAAACACAAAGCATCAGGACGCTTTGTCGGATCGGATCCCAACGGCGCCACGAGTGCGACGGGTCAAAGGACCCACAGCTCGACTGGGGCGTGCTCTCGGACCCAGGCCGTGCGTTGCATAAATTGCAAGTGACGGTTCAGAAACGCACAACAGACAGCTTGTGTGGCTTCTGAGGTCATTACATGACTCGGCCCGGGCATGCCTCTCTAGAGGGAGCTGAAACACATAAAGCTAAGGAGAAACCTTGAGGGCCCCCCGCCTTCGACCATCCCTTGGATCAGGTGATCATCAAACTTTCGTGGGACCCCCCGGGTTTTCTCTCGAGCGCGGGGCGCTCCGCCGGCTTTGAGTCCACGAGAAATTCTCGCGCCGGAAGGACGACTCCGCCTGGACCCTCCGAATCGAAGCATCGAAGTAGCTGTTGGCCAAATGCGGGAGGGAAGCAAACAAACCAGGGCCAAGCAAAGAGGAACCAAAGGGCGTGGATCTGGTTTTCAGGGTGAAGGCGAAGCTGGTTTGAGTAGCCGATACGAAGGGGAATCTTGAGGATGCCAGAACCGGCGTAGGAAATCACCCGTTTGGGGGTTCGGGAATGAACCATTGACACCCGTGAAGGGAAACCAGAAATGACTCCATTCAATTCGCGTCATTCCAACTCATTCCAACTGAGAACCGGCAAGCGATGAATTCCACCAAGGCTTATGGCGGGAGAGCAAAGGCATTGCAGGAGCTGGTTGAACTTATCTTTTGGCCAAAAGAGAATCGGGGGATGGAATCTGGCAACGTGGGCGTCAAACCAATGTAACTTGTCAGGATTTCAAGGGCAAATCTTCGCGAATCGGCAAACTGTCCCTTGCTATCCTGCCCGAATCGTTTCTCGATCGAGCTCTGAAGAGAACCAAACGGAGGGCCCAGTTGCCACCCGCAAGTCTTTTGCAGGCAGAACGCCGAAGCCCCTAACTTGTTGGTTGGTCGTTTTGCATTTAGGCGCGGGAGAGTTTTACCAACCGGGGAGTCACACCTGCCTTCTGGAAGCCATGGTTGAGACACCTGCTGTTCGAAGCTCCTTCTCCCCCCTTAAAAGGAAGCGGCCGATCTGGTGACATCGACCAAATCGCGTGGCCAAGGCGCGCCACCTTCAACGCCCCAAAGGGTCCATTTTGGAGGCGCAGGGGCACCGTCAAACGCAGATCACTCGCGTTGATCCTTCGAACTCTGAGCTCACCAAATTCGGCCAAGGAATGGAAACACAGGGGAACCAAAGAAACCAAAGCCCTAAGATCCGGCTGCATCCGGCGATCGAGGAAAAAAAAACACCTCACCCGGATGGCATCTCCCCGGCACCCTGCCAGAAAAATCCCTGGCGGAACTAAACCACCCGCCCCGCTCACAGGAAGAAGTACCCGCCATCCTCGGACTCAGCGACTGTGTCATGCGCCGTGTGAATACGGTCCGGGCTGTTCAACATGGCGGGTTGGCCAATCCTCATCCATGATCCCTGTAGGTGAGCCACTACAAAGGGACCAACTCGTTGCGTTTGATTAAAAAATATTGCGGACCTTTAAACAGCCCCGGAGAAGGTGTGCCAAAGGGAAGCGAAGGGGGAAATCTCTACGAACTCGCGCCATTGTATGTGGTATGCCCATTCTGGGCCAAGGCCACACTGTAGCGGATGGCCACTGCTCATGTATATATTTATATATATATATATATTAGAAGCCTAAGCGCGGGCCTATGGCCTACCTATGGCCTACAAGGGCAAACAATGAAAGGAATTCTCTTGGATTGTTTGGTTCGTTTGCGGGGGACATCACTTGACAAAGACTTGCCGCCAACCGTTGATCTGGTCATGGAAAAATTAGAGTCACCTCCGGGGGGGAACCCTATTCAAAGAAAGCGAAAAGGAGGTGGCGCTCTGACAAGACTACTCTCAGGCCAAAAGCAGCGACACGACCTATTGGGATGCTTGGTGTTTGCGCCACCTATGCGCGGAACTTAAACATCACTTGTGTCATGGTCCAACACAATGGTCATGGTCATGTACCAAGGGAATGGTCCCAAAGCAGCTTCGCTCTTGAACGTTGGCCTTTTGGCTTCCTTTAGGCTTGTGGGAATAGCCGCCAGAGAAGAACCAGAAACAAAGTTTGTTCTCAAGGCTATCACCCCGAACTGATCCGTCCAACGGCGGAATTACTAGAATCCTGGGGGAAGCCAACAAGAAACTCATATCAAGAAATTGCCAACGTTTTGGCTTCTTTGCGCGATTCCCCAGACCACAACCCCCCCCCAAACAACAAAAAAACGGTCCTTTCATTCCCCAACCCAACAAAAATGCGCCACACGCATTCGAAATGAAATGCCGCTCCTCGGCAAGATGCCCCCTCTGGCTCCTGCGCGGGTATGGAACGAACCTATCAAGGATGGAACCCCTACAAACGTCTGCATTAGAGTATCTCACTTTCTGAGGGCCCCCCGCCAAACAAACAAAAACGTGGGTGCTCTTCATAAAAAAAAAAAAAAAAGCAAACTGGTTGCGCCAACTCAAGAGACAGGCCGGTCGGCCGGAACCGGAAACTTAAAGTTCAAACCAAGTGAACGGTTTGGAGCAACCGTTGTTCCAACGCGCATCAAAACCAGGAACAACTAGAAGCTTGGTTTCTCCTGCGAAAGACTTCCAATACCCGAACGTGGGCCACTGAGTTCGGAGAACCCTGTTCCAACACGGAATAAAGGCTTGGACTGTTCCCGGAAGCATTGC